CAGTTCTACCTCCCTTCCTCTCGTCGTGTTCTGTCCTCCCAGGACGCCACGTTCGACGAGTCAGTCCCCTTCTACCGTCTCTTCCCCTACCGCACTCCTTCCCTCCCCCCACCGCCGCACTTCCTTGTGCCAGGTCCCCCCCCGGTAGACCCCCTCCCCCCTCAGGGTCCTGCCCCTTCAGGTGTGTCCCAGGTTGACGTAGTCGAGCCGGTCGAGGTTGCTGGTGACTCTCGTACTGCTGCGGGTGCTGAGCCTGGGGGTGCTGACTCTGGGGGTGCCGTGTGCGCGGGTGCTGAGCTTGGGGGTGTTGAGTCTGGGGGTGCTGCGACTGAGGGCGCTGCGCCTGGGGGTGCTGAGCCTGGGGGTGCTGCCATCTGGGGTGCTGAGCCTGGGGCTGCTGAGCCTGGGGGTGCTACGCCAGGGGGTGCTGAGTCTGGGGGTGCTACGTCAGGAGCTGCTGAGCCTGGAGGTGCTGATTATGGAGCTGCTGAGCCTGGAGGTGCGGAGCCTGTCGCCACTGGACCTCCCCTTGTGGCGTCTGGTGGTGCTAGGCCTGGAGGTTCTCCGGGTGCTCCGTCTCGGAGGGAGCCCCTCTCTCCACAGGAGCTGCGCGAGTGGTTTGCTAGCCGCTGGAGGCGTACTGCTGGAGATGGGGCTTCTTCGGCCACTGAGGGTGCTGGTCCCGCCGGTCCCGGGGCTGCTGGGCCTGCGGGTCCTACTGGAGCTGGAGCTGCTGAGGGTGGTGGTGCTGAGACTGCTGCTGTCTGTCATGGCGGTGGTCCTGCTACTGGCGCTGCTGGAGGTCCTTCCACTGGAGGTGCTGTTGGCGCTGGTGCGGCCACTAGGGGTGCTGGTGCTGTCCTTGCTGTGTCTGGGGTCCCCGCGCGGCCTCGGCCGTACTTCGTTCCGCTCCTTCAGCAGGTTCTTGGTCTCTCTCCTCCTGTAGAGTGTCCACCGCCTGTCCAGTCCCAGTCACTGATAGAGCCCGCCTCCCCACTACCTGCTCCCTCTCCTTACATTGGTCCTACTGGAGGTCTTGCAGAGCGTCGTGAGCCTGCGTCTCGCCCCGCGTCGCCTGTTCGTGCTGCTCGTGCTAGTGGTCGCGATTCGCGTCAGCGTCCTCCTCCTGTCCCTGGCACGCACCGGATGTCTCTGCGTCCGTCCACTACTCCTCTGCGTGCCCCTTTGCCTTCTCCTCCTGAGTCCTCTCTTCCTACGCTTGCCGACCCGGCGTCGGACTCTCTTCGTGCTGCCAGTCCTACTGTCACGCGTCTTCTTGCTACTGTTGTCACTGACCCCTCTTTTGAGTCCACTGCTGCATCTTCTCTTGTTGCTGAGCTCGTCGACTTTGCTGCTCGCTGTCGTCTAGACTACGCTACCAGTCTTGTTGCTGAGTCTGCCTCTGTCTGTCCTCCGTCCGTCGGGGGTGAGTGTGCTCTTGGCATGGACGTCCTTGAGGACAGGCAGGAGGAGTTCCAGTGTCTGGCAGCTGCTTCACCTCATCTCGCGTCTGTACTGCTTGCCCCTGAGGGAGACCCGGATGCACTAGACATCCCTACTCCGCGTTCTTACGCGGAGGCTGTAGAGGGTCCCTACTCCTCTCAGTGGCAGGCAGCTATGGATGCAGAGATGGCTTCCTGGAAGTCCACAGGCACCTACGTTGACGCGGTTCCCCCTCCTGGGGCGAACATCGTCAGTGGCATGTGGATCTTCAGGGTGAAGCGGTCGTCTGGCTCTCCACCAATCTTCAAGGCGCGGTACGTCGCTCGTGGCTTTAGTCAGCAGCAGGGAGTTGACTACTTTCAGACCTTCTCTCCCACCCCGAAGATGACTACTCTTCGGGTGCTGCTGCACATAGCCGCTCAGCGCGACTACGAGCTTCACTCTCTTGACTTCAGCACAGCTTTCTTACAGGGCAGCCTGCACGAGGAGATCTGGCTGCGCCGTCCACCTGGCTTCACTGGGACTTTCCCTCCTGGCACCCAGTGGAGCCTCCGACGGCCAGTCTACGGTCTCCGCCAGGCACCGCGTGAGTGGCACGACACACTGAGGACTACGCTTGCGGCTCTTGGGTTTGCTCCCTCTACTACTGACCTGTCGTTGTTTCTGCGCACCGACACTTCTCTGCCGCCGTTCTACATCCTCGTGTACGTCAACGACTTGGTCTTTGCCACTGCTGACACTGCTGGAGTCGCCTATGTGAAGTCGGAGTTACAGAAGAGACACACGTGCACAAACTTGGGTGAACTGCGCAGCTACCTTGGCTTGCAGATCACCCGGGACAGAGCACGCCGCACCATTACCTTGACTCAGTCACACATGGTGCAGCAGGTCCTTCAGCGCTTCGGCTTCACGTACTCCTCGCCTCAGGCCACTCCTCTGTCTACTCGCCACTCGCTCTCAGCTCTGCCTTCGGATGAGTCCGTAGAGTCGAGTGGCCCGTACCCAGAGCTTGTTGGCTGCCTCATGTACCTGATGACCTGCACACGACCTGACCTTGCATACCCTCTTAGCATTCTTGCGCGCTGTTGCTCCTGGGAGACACCGACCAGAGCACATGGCTGCAGCGAAGAGGGTGTTGCGCTACTTGTGCAGTACGTCTGGCATGGGGCTAGTGCTTGGAGGGCGGAGTCCAGTGGTCCTCACTGGCCACGCGGACGCTTCTTGGGCTGACGACCAGGCTACGCAGCGGTCGTCGCAGGGTTACACCTTCAGTCTTGGTTCCGGCTCTGTCTCGTGGCGGGCTACTCGCTCGTCTTCTGTTCTCGGCTCCAGTTGTGAGGCTGAGATCTACGCCGGAGCCATGGCTGCACAGGAGCTACGCTGGCTCACCTATCTGCTGACTGACCTTGGAGAGCCGCCTCGTTCTCCTCCAGTGCTGTACGTAGACAACAAGGCCATGCTGGCCTTGTGTCGAGGGCAGCACTTAGAGCACAGAACGAAGCACATTGCTCTCCGCTACTTCCTTGCTCGTGAGCTGCAGCAGCGTGGTCAGTTGCGACTTACGTACGTGGCCTCTGAGGCCAACAGTGCTGATGTTTTCACCAAGGCACTTCCGCCTTGTGATCATCAGCGTTTCTGCACTCAGCTGGGACTTGTCCCAGTCTTGCCTCACTTACTCACCTCTTGACCTTGCTTGTACTCTTGCATATATATATACCTGCTCTTGCTTGTTTAGCCTTATATATATATATGTCTCCTCTTGCATGTGAACTGGCCTTGTGGCCTTGACCTTGTGCTCGGACTATGTGGTGACTTTGTGATCCACCCTGAGCTTTGCTTTGCTTTGCTTGACTGGTCTTGTGACCCCTTGTTCTCCCCCACTTTTCCTATGGGGGTGTGTCAGAACATTATAGCTTATGCTGTTGTGTAGGCTATAGTGGGGTATCCCATAGGGGGTACAACCCAATTAGGGTTTCCTATATGTACTCACTTCATTCATAGTTCATTTTTTCGTGTTCTTTGTTTCACACCTCTGTCGTGTCGAAACACTAAGGCACAAGCGAAGCAAAGCATATCGAGGCACCAGCGAGTCAACCCTCGGAGGTTGAAGTAACTGCTGGAGGTTACGCGAAAATCAAAGGTCAGCGACCTTTGACCTGACAAATACAGCGCGACAGCAAGGACACACAACTGACTCGTTACAGAACAGTTGCTCGAGTCGTCACTGTATCAAACCGCAACAGCAACAAGTAAAACAGTTATGACCGTATCCTTTCATATTCCTTGTGGTACTCTTATATAATCTTGTATCTCTTTGATTTAATCAATTTACCACTTTGCCCTTATATACTAGCGCAAGGTGGTTCACAACTCTTTATTAACGCTTCTGCTACTACACCAACTCCACCCAGAGTTCACCCCTGCAAAGATCCTAAGGGCTTTTTCAGCCCAACAGCTGTCGCGCTGTACTTGTCAGATCAAAGCTCACTAACCTTTGACTTTCGCGTAACGTCCAGCAGTTACTTCAACCCAGGCCTCTCGTTATCAGGGTAAAATACCCTTTTTGCACTGACTGGCGGCCACTTTTTTCAGTTTCCTTTTCACAGGCAGGGTAGTGGATTTTTAACCCTAGGCCAGAAAGTGTAAGTTTTTCAATACCCTTTGAAAAACAGCATAAGGAACACATTACTCTGACTGTACAGTGTACAATCCCAGCTACACTGGTACCGAGTGCTCCGTAGCGAGACAAAGCACTATACAGGTCCCTTCTAAAGGATCTCATTAGCGAGATTCGACCTTGTGAGCTTTCAGATATAATGCGATACTGAACCAGCTGAACTACTTGCCATTGACAAATAATATTTTAAGATACAGACTACCGTAACTGTTTTTTTACTCTGCATTTGTCAGGGAAACAAAAAGTTTACCCTACGCATCAGGGTTGACTATACCTAGAACCCTGATTACTAAGGGTGGCCCAAAACGAATCTGAAGCCCTGCTTCAACCTCCGAGGGTTGACTCGCTGGTGCCTCGATATGCTTCGCTTCGCTTGTGCCTTGGTGTTTCGACACGACAGAGGCACTTAAGCTCGATTGTTTCCAACAGAATAAAGCATGCACAAGACAACCATGCTCAAATAGCCGTAAATATGTTGCGGCTCAACACAAAATTACAAATCAGTTGTCTCACGCAACAGAATCGGCCGGTGTGCGCATGACTGAAGCAGTCACACGGAAAAATGCAATGCTGCACATTGGTGGTGCGCTGTGTCCATGGCACAAGCAGGAACACCAGTGGAGCCAGAAAAACGGTAGAGTTAGCCTACATGTCTAATACCGCAGAATAGTAGAACTTGCAAGTGCAAAGCGCATAAGTGTGGCAACGAATCAAGAACAGCAGAAGAGGGGAGGGGTATAACGCTATTGCACAGAGGTGGTGGCGGAAAGAGGGGGAAAGGGGGAAGAGCGGGGGGAGAAAGAGTGGAGGAAAGCAGCAGCGTGGAAGATTGTGAAATGCAATTGCAAGAGGAAGTGAGACACAAATGAGGGTTTGCTTCTCAGGCATCAGCTGCCGCACTGCCGCACCCAGCGGACCCCGCAAACGTACCCGCAGCAGTGAAGGCCCCGCCCCCGCCCCCAACCCCAGCCCCGCCGCCAGCCCCAGCAGCAGCAGCATATGCCCCAGTAGCATAAGCCCCAGCAGCGTAAGCCCCGGCACCAGATGCAGCACAGAAGACTCCTCCAAAGTCGGAATCAGGGAGTGTAAACATGTCATCACAGCCGGGAAGCGGCATGGGGAAATCCATGTCCTCCATGTGAAACCCCATGCCCATGCCCATGCCCATGTCTGCGTCCATAAGGGTCGCCATATCTTGACTGTGCGAATCCTCCATGCCATGTGCATGGCCTTCACCCATCACATGGGCTTGAAGCATGTAATTGCCATGCACGGATTGGTCCAATGGGTCATCATCAGCATCCACCAATGTGCTCGATGCCACTGCCACATCACACGCACCAGAACCAGCAGCTTCCACCTTCGCTACTGATGCTGCTGCTGCTGCTGCTGCTCCATGCAATGCTGACAGCCCTGCCGCATCCTCCTCTCCTCGGCCCATTTGCTGGTGCCTTCCTGCACCTGCAGCCCCACCGTGTGTTCCCATTCCCGGAACATCCTGGTCCTGCCTTCCTGCAGAATTTCCTGCAGGACTGTGCGTGGTCTTCTCGGCCTCTAAGGAACTGTCAGAGGCCTCCGGGCTCCCCGAGACTGCGGAGTTCCCAAGGGCGTTACCGCCAGCCACAGGCGCAGGCACCTGCATCTCCTGTGCTCGCTCCCCCTGCGCCTCACACTGTGTTTGCGGCTTCAGCATCTGCTGCTGCTGGCTCAGCTGCTGCTGCATCTGCTCCCGCGTCAGCTGTATCCGCTGCGCGTGCAGCTCGTGCCGTAACTCCTGCAGAAGCTCCTGCTTCGCCTCCTGCAGCTGGCGACCCCACCCAGCCCCTGCTGTTCCACCTCCGCACTCTCCAGTCTGAGCCATCTCACCTGTCGACCCCACACCACCACCTCCAACCACATGCGGATTCTGATTATTCTCAAAACAGGCCATTACTCCCGTACGCCCCGCGCTGCCTACCCCCCCCGGCCCCACTCCGCCCAGGCGGACCGCTGCTGCCTCGCGGAGTGACTCCTGGCTGGCACACGTCAGCCCCCCCGCATGCCGCTTTCCTGGGAACTTCTCACCCGCTACTCCATGCGCAGCACCGCGGGACGGAGTACCCACCTCGTACCCACTACCGCTGCCATCGCACAGCTCGCCAGCAGCAGCCGTGCTCTGACTCCTACCACCAGCACCGCTATGACTCCTGCCACCGGCCTCCAAGCTCGGCGCTGCCATGGGGAAATCCGCTGGGTCCGGCCCAAAGCTCCGCTTCATCCCTGCTCTGATTCCCCCAGATGTGCCCATCCCCCCCCCAGTGGTCATCTCCCCACCAGTGGACATCCCCCCGGCGGTCACCCCCCCTCTGCTGCCCTTCTGCGGCGCCTCGAGAACCATGGGTGACCCGGCACCCGCTCGCCCAATCCCCCCCGCGTTGCTCACTCCTCCTGCTTCCCCCGCTCCTCCCCCTGTCCGCCTGGACTGCGCGATCTCCTGCGCGATCCTCCGGTTGGCCAGCTGGCTCAGGTGAAAATTCAGGTCGCGGTCGGAGAGAGCAGCAGATGCGGCAGCAGAAGGAGCGCCGGTATGGGTGGTGTTGCCGCGGGTGGGGGTTCTCACCACGCGTGGGAACACCGGGGACTGAGCGTCCGTGTGGAGAGAGTAGGATCGGATAAACTGCCTCTTCCGCGACCCTGGCGGTAGTGACGCAGCAGGGGCGGTCGGCGCAGAGTTGACTGGCGCCAACGCCGAGGCCGAGGGGGCAGGGGAGGGGGCAGTAGCGGTAGAGTTGGTAGGAGGACCGGGAGAAGCAGCAGGGCGAGCAGGAATGGGGGCTGTCATCGCGGAAGCGGTTAGGGCGGGGGGACTGGGAGGGATTTGGGTGTTGGGAAAGAGGGGGTTGTGGGGGCTGGATCGCATGCCGTGCCCTGCCATGGCATCGTGCCATTCCATGGTTTCCCTGCTTGCTGTTGAGTTCGCCCGTTTCAGTTGCAGCAGGTGCTGCTGCTGCTGCAGCTGGTTCTGTTGCTGCTGCTGCTGCTGCTGCTGCTGCTGCTCCAACAGCCGTTGATGCTGCTCGAGCTGGAGCATCTGCTGCCTCCGCTCCACGAGAGACAGCTGCTGTTCCTCTTCTAGACTCTGCTTCGCCTCTAGCCGACGCTCCTGCATCAGTTGATGTTGCTGCTGCTGTGACTGTTGCTTCTGCCGCTGCAGCAGCTGCTGTTGCACGAGAGCCTGCATATGTTGCCGCTGCAGCTGCTGCATCTGCTGCTGCTGGGTGTGCTGCTGCTGCTGCTGCTGCTGCTGCTGCTGCTGTTGCTTCTGCTTGGAAGATTCTAACGGGTACAAAGCCATGATCCTTGATATAGTCTGCAGCGAGCTGGCCGATATATCACCTTTCACGCCGCCATGACTCACACCCCCGAGCGCACCTCGCAACGAACCTGGACCCGAGCCTCGCCCCGAACCGGGCCCCAGACCTGACCCCGGACCTGAACCCGGACCTGACCCCCGACCTGAGCCCGGACCTAGCCTCGGGCCTGAGCCTTGGCTGAGCAGCTGCTCCGGCGACTGCGCCGCAGCCGACTGCGGCCGGAAGGGGTATGCGCCAGATGCGGCGAGCATGGGAGAGGCAGCAATCATGGGAGACGCAGCAATCATGGGAGAGGCAGCAAGTATGGGAGACGCTGCCGGGTTCTGGCTGTTCCAAGAAACTGGTGCTTTCATCCCCTGGAGCATAACGAGAGCAGGGGAGGAGAAAGCGGGGGAGGGGGTGACGGGGGGACGGAAGGGTAACATTGGAGAATCGCGTGGGCAAGGAGCGAGAGCATCAGCAATATTCCCATCGCGACAACCGCAATTCTAGGTGTAGGACGTCTCGAAAGCAACACGTGCTGCATGAGTGCTTAACCGAGCACTTCTCCACTTTACCACCTTTCCCGGCCAACAGCCAGTTTCTCACCTGCGCGTCACCGCTCTTGAGAGCCACATTCGAACTCGGAGGCACTGCGCGCCTGTCGGCCGGTAGGCTGACAGCGGTTGACGGCGCCGTCTGGTTAACGGCTACCGGTGCTCCCCAACTTCCTGCGCTTGCCCTTACTGCGGTACCAATGCCTGCGGTCGCTATTGGTGGCGTAACGATTTCTGAATTTGGAGATTCTCCATCTCCAGAGCCACTCTGCAGTCCGAATTTAGAAATTACCCCCGAATTAGGGGATATTCTTGAACTCGGGTCCGTCCCCAGATTCCCCTGACTCGCTCGTAACCGTTGGATCGCCTCCGCGGGAATAACATCGCTCGAGAAGGGTAATGAAGGAGTTCCAGATGCGACGTTATTAGTGGACACACGAGGCAATACTATGGCCGGTCTAGGTGTTTGAGGTTGCGCCGGCTGAGTAGAGGTGTCGGGATCCGGCGCGGCGAGAAAGCCGTGAGCGGAAGTTAAGGCGCCACCGCCGGCGGTGGAAGTGGAAGAGGCGGGTTGGGCTTTTTGCACTTGGAGGAGTGGCGGCGGTTGAGCCATGTCGCAACCCCATAGCTTCGCCAGGTCTGCTGCAGACGGGCAGCCCGTGAAACATTCAAACACGTGACGGCTGTGGTTCGCGCCGGACGGATTTGCGTTGTGAGACGCGAGGTCACAATCCGGGCAGAGAGAAAGGTTTTCGTCCCGACATCGCACAGAGGCTGGCTCCGCGTTGCATCCGTCGCAAAGCAACGTGCGATGGTGGCGAAGGGAGAGATTATTCGCAGAATGAACTACTCGGTCGCATGAGAGGCAGAGCCTCGCAGAATCCGCTTTACAATAGACCGTGGCACGGCCTTTTTCGCAAAAATCGCAAATAGTCTCCATTGCTGATAAGACGGGACCCCTCGTCGGATAAGATGCTGTATTTTATTTAATCCAAGCTCATCTAATCGTCGGTTCTCGTCTGGCGTAAAAAAAAAACACACACACACACACATACACACACACACACACACACACACACACACACACACACACACACACACACACACACACACACACACACACACACACACACACACACACACACACACACACACACACAATTCCCTCACAAAAAACGGCTCGAACGGAGTGTAATGATAAACGCAAAAGGTAACGCTAGAATCCAGCCGGAAACTATGGACGACGGTGTTCTTCTCACCGACTGTAAACGTGTCACTGCAAACGTCAGTAGATCTAACCTTTGCAGAATTCAGTTGAGTTTTGTTTACAGCTCACACGTTTGCAGGGAAGCTAAGGAAGATTTCAGGGAGGAATGGAGGGATAGAAAGAGGTGGAGGGAACGATGGAAGCCTTGGAAGGGAAGAGAAGAGAAGGGAAGGGAGAAAAGCGAGGGGTAGAGGAAAGGGATGGAGGAGTGGAAGATCTCATCTCATCCGTCAATCCGTGATCTGTTCCGTCAATTATCTGGTGGGCAGGACTGATGGAGAAGCTGAAAAGGGACCACAGACGCGTGGGATCATGGCATCCCCTGACGTGGCATGGATGCAGCACACGCCTCGTTTATGGTCAGACAGACTCGCTCCGATAAGTTCCATCGCCGCTGCTGATAGGGCGTACAAAAAGTATTCCAACTGTAATGAGCTGTAGAAACTGGCAGCGATGCCCGCAAGACTTAGGGTGTAGGCCCAATCGAGTTTGATCGCGATTGATCTGATCGGGTCGGATCTGATCGGATTGCTAGTGATCGCAGTTCCCGAGCCGCCCGATCAGAACTGTTTTTCGAAGAAGATCTCCAGCGCCTACGGAGCAAGCGCTGTACATTTACGTCGCAATTTCGTCCCCATTCTAGCGAGATTGGCGACCATACGTCACCTGGCGGAAAAAAACGTTTCCATGAAATTTAACACTGTAACTACTCGCTAGCGTCGCTGTGGGCCCCGATCACATGCAATCCGGTGATCGCCTGTGATCGAGGAAAATCGAGTCTGATCGGGATGAAAATCGGGTCTGATTGAGCTGGGGCAATTAGTTGATCGCGATCAGCTGATTGCCCCTGATTGCATAAATTTGGCTTCCAGGCTTCCTAGAAATTGCTGATTGCATTTGATCGAGGCGATCAAACTCGATGAGCCCACGCCCTTACTGCGCAGGACAGCCAGCCTGAACGTGTGCGCTGCGCTGCTTCAGTTTCCCCGCCTCCACACCAAACCAAAAGCTGCTGGTTGGGTACGGTCAGTGGGAAGGGGGAAAAGTGGGGAAGGAAATTGTTCGTGCCACACTCCCCCCTGCATGTGTTCCTTTTCGAAATCCTACCACCGCAAGCCACCACAGGCTACACTCTGTTCCTCCCACCCCACCCAGCACAAACCACCCAACCAAAGCCACACCATCCATGGGCTGCCCCCCAAGACCACACAATGGAGGGTCTTCGGCCAACGTCAAGCACAAGAAGGTGGTGGTGCGGTGTGGTGTGGTGGCGCAGCGAACGGAACGAGTGCCAGTACAGTAGGGGACAGTACAGTTCTCAAACTCATCCAGATCCATCAATAAAAGGTACCGAAAACGTTTTCCTGCCTGCCCCTAATGACGGCCTCCGCATCTACCGCTGATGCGCTGGCACAAGAACGTCCTTCATCCACCCCAAACAGCCATCTGCTGCCCTGAAACCTTGTCGGATTGGCTAGGCCTGGGTTGCGTCCAACAAAAACCCTTACCTGACCATGTGGTTAGGGGGGTGGTTCATTCAATTGAGAGATCATGTCAGCGATGGCAAATGCCATGTGCAATCCGTTCAACCGCTTTGGATATGAGACCCTAGAAGATGATGTGCTGTGCTCCTCACAGCCACATGTTGCTCGATTTGATATTCTGAAAAGTGCCACAATTTGTTTTGCCAAGTAAGCTCGCGCCACGTAATCCAGAAGTTTAAAACAAGCCCGGTTCAGGTTGGAACTTGAGTGTAACCTTTCCCCACATGCACGTGCAATGAAGTCCGTCTAGAATCTTCCCATGGTTTGAGCTGCCTGCAATAAAATCCATCCTCGCGATGTTAACTTTCATAAATTTCAATGAATTCATATTGCAGAATTTTTATGTGGTCAACAATAGCACACATAACTGAATCCAAATGCCGGATTCTGAATTTATTAGATTTATTACGCAAAGTAAGTTATATATTGAGAATATAAATGTCAGAAGTCAGTTTGTTGAGATTCTGGATTCTGACACTTCATGATGTATGTGTGTTACGAGTGCAATTGAGTGAACGAACGAGAACTGCACTATCGAAGCAAGAATACAATGAGCGAAGGCATGAGCGAAGAATATATAGCGAAACTACAGTGGTAACGGTAATGGACTGTGGTTGTCGCGCGACGGGCCTGGGACTGAGGTTGGGAAAGTGTCGAAGCGGAGGCCCGGAGCGGGGGTTACCAGCCGAGCCGTAAGGTCGGGGTGCGATGTGCGAAAATGGCGGGCGGTTTGTCGATGCGAGGAGCGCGAGTGGTAACGGTGCTGACTGTGGTGCTACAGTGATATACGCGTTGAGCAGGGATGCGAAGTAAGGAAAAGTGATTTTCCTTACACTACCCCCCCTCCTAAGGAGGTCCTTCTTACGAAAGAGCGTGGACGTCCATGAAATTCCGGCTGCGCAGATATTCAGTGAGAACAAGGTGGTTTTCGATTCTGTCCAGGGGAACCCAATTGTCTTCGGTGGGTGTACGGTCTTTCCAAAGGATCAGGAACTCGATCTTTCGGGCTCCTTGAGGGTCACGAACTCTGTGGCTCAGGATTTTGTCAGGGGTGATGATTGGTTCGGTTGGCGGACGTACCATGCTGGCTGGGCAATTGCGTGAGAGTTGGCTTGTGGATGGGACGTAGGGGCGAAGCAGGCTGACGTGGAACGAGGGGCTGACGTACCAGTCAGCAGGGGGGAGGAGGTGCGCGGTGACAGATGTTATCATATGGCCAATTCGAAATGGCCCACAGTATCGAGGGCGGAGTTTGGGGGTGATGGGCAGGCGGAGGTTCTGGGTGTCGAGTAAAACCAGGTCGTCGGGCTGGTAAGTGACAGGTCTGCGGTGGCGGTCGGCGTTGCGTTTAGCGATGATGTTTGATTTTTTTATTGCGTCTGCTGCCCTGGTCCGTGCTGCTTGCAAAATTTCGGCGAACTGTTGCGCGCGTGGAACTGGGTTGTCGGGATTCGGGGTCATCGGTACTGTTGGGTCTTGTCCGTAATTCAGGTAAAATGGTGACTGCTGGGTTGTGGCAGATGGGGCGTTGTTGTATGCGAATTCGATGAGTGGCAGTTGCTGTTCCCACGTGTTTGGGTCGTCGCACGTGGCCCTAATGAGCTGTTCCATGGTCTGATTTGTCCTTTCTGTCTGTCCGTCGGTTTCGAGGTGATACGATGAACTAAACTGTAGTCGCGTGCAGAACTGCTGCCATAGGTTCCGCCAGAAGTTGCTAGTGAATTTCGTGTCTCTGTCGCTGATGATGGATGCTGGTATCCCGTGCAGTCGAACGACGGTAGAGATGAAGAGGCGGGCTGTTTCTTCGGCTGTGATTGATTTCTTGCAGGCTGCGAAGTGTGCCATTTTCGTCAGTCGATCGACGACGACCAGGATCGCGTCATTCCCACTTGCCCCGGCCGGTAACCCCGTGACGAAGTCCATCGTCACCTGCTGCCAAGCACGCTCTGGAGGTGGGATCGGTTGCAACTGTCCCGCCGGCCGCTTCCGGGTTGACTTCATGATCTGGCAAGTGGGACATGATGCCACGTGTCACTGCACGTCGGTCAACATTTCGGGCCAGTAATAATACCGCTGCAGCTGCTGCCGTGTTTTCTCTACTCCGAAATGTCCCGAGGTAACTCCGTCATGTGCCTCCTGCAGTAGTAATTCCCGTAGCAGTGTGTACCCTGGTACCCAGATGCGTTCGGTCCCAGCTTTTACGTAATGGACTCCCTTGGCTGCTGCGAATTGCTGCGAGTTTCCTCCTGTGAAGAATGGGTCCGTTCGATATCCGTGGGTAAATATTCATGTCAGTAGCGGGCTGGTCTGGGCTGTCAGAATCCCAACCACTAGACCATTGGGATAAAAGGGCTTGTTAAGTAGCGGGTCAGTGCGCCCATAACCCCCCAGGACAACGAGCCTGTAACCCTTCCCTAGGATCAATCGGGGATCACCAGTGGACCTATGACACCCCCCCGCACTGGGATGCCCGAAGTGCATACACCGGGATTCGAACCCGAGACCGCTCTGATACCATGTCAGAATCCCAACCACTAGACCATTGGGATAAAAGGGCTTGTTAAGTAGCGGGTCAGTGCGCCCATAACCCCCCAGGACAACGAGCCTGTAACCCTTCCCTAGGATCAATCGGGGATCACCAGTGGACCTCTGACATGGGCGAGTAGTATCGCATGGATCTGGGCAGTGGGGCGGGTCAGTGCGTCGGTGATATTCGAGGCTCCTTTTTTTATAGGTGACTGTGTAGTGGAAATTTGACTCGGGGAAATCGAGCCACCGAATCTGTCGTGGGTTGAGGTGGGGCTGTGCGGAGGTACTGTAGAGATCGATGGTCTGTCCGTACTGTCACGTCTGCGCCGGTGAAGTAGCAGCGCCACACTTTGAACGCATGCACGATCGCGAGCATTTCGCGGTCGTGTATCGGGTAATTTCGTTCGGGAGGATTCAGTTTTCGTGATTCGTATGCGATGGGCTGTAGGCCGTTGCCGAAGTCCTGTAACAGTACGGCTCCAATGGCGATGTCGCTTGCGTCTGTAACAACTTCGAAGGGGCGATGTGGGTCGGCGATGGGCAGGACGGGTGGTGAACAGAAAACATTTTTCAGGGCAGAGAAGGCAGAATGCTCTTTCT